TTCTCCAAGGTTAATATAAGTGGTAATTTGTACCTTAAGGATGTTATTTGCTATTTTGAAAACCAAAACAAGGCGTTAGAAGCCACTGTGAACTTTCTTATACTTGCTGGGAAATTTTATTTTCACAAACAGAGGTTTCTTAAAAAAAATCCAATCTTTATTGACTTCTTATGTGAAATAGAACATTTAATTAAATCTCTTAGATTAATTGAAAATAAGAAATGTACTTCTTTCTTGAGCAAATATGATGAGATCTTTCATGCTACTTGAATATTTATTTCTTTTTTTTATTATACTGTCTTTTTTTATTTTTATTTATATTTTATTTTTTTTATGTACTGTGTTTTAGTTTTACTCTTATCTTGTGTATGTAATGTGATTGTTGTGTAAAAGAACTGTTATCTTTTACTATATTCTAAATTGTATTATACAGTTTCTTGAAGCAATAAAAAAAAAAATTAAAAAAAAAAAAAAAATTAAAAAAAAAAAAAAAACCTGATTGGACCACAGAGACTCAGGAATCTGCGTCAGGGCGAGTTGCCGTCTGCTGTGGACAAAAATATATTAAATATATTTAATATATATATTTTTACGTTTTTGGTGCTGTGTAATATTCTGAGATACTTTATACGGTTCCTTTTACAGCATCCATGGTGTAAATTAAGCGTTTCCGGCGAATTGAATGCCAATGCAAAATCCGGTGCGTTTAAGGTCTGTTTTCTTTCAAAATCAGCGATCTCCACAAGCTGAGTGATATCCGATTTAAAGTGGGTCTCAGATTGTACAAGAAGCACTGCATTAAATTACATTTCCCCCGCCATATCCTTATAATATGAGCAATATATTTTACCCCAGTATATTCAATGGAGCTTCTGCGTTAGCCTGCCGATTCTGACGGGCGCGTGCGAGTAAACAGCTTTTTGTCTCGTTTTACGCTTGAGCAACTAAATAAATGCAAAAGTTTAGTTAACTGAAGGTATGTTAATGACATTACAACATCGATGCTGTATAAGGAACCGTATAAAATGGGAAAAAAAAGTTCACAATAACAGGTCACCGGAAGTGTATCAGCATGGAAACAGCACTAGCTCGGCATATACCCTATTTAAATAGGAACTTATATACATCTAATATATCTAGAAAACTACAGGAGTATTACATACTAAGCAACAGAATCCTGTGGTGCCACAGAAATGTTTAAGTGATACCACACACTACCACAAGAATACCGCAGGAGTATTACATACTGTACAACACAGAATCCTGTGGTAAAACATCCCAAAAAAAACAACAAAGTACTACACAATCATCACATGGTTTTTGTTTTGTACATTTGATGGTTTACCACATGAAATACCACATGCTACCACAAAAATATTACAGGAATATAACAGTAATACCACACGCTCTACCACAAGAATATCCCAGGAATATTACATATTGTATAACAGAATCCTGTGGTAAATACTACCACAATATGAAAGTGATACACTACCACAAGAATACTACAGGAGTATCACATACTGTACAGCACAGAATCATGTGGTAAAACGTCCCAAAAAACAACAAAGTACTACACAGTTACCACATAACATTTGATGGTTTACCACATAGAATACCGCAGGTAATGTTTGTAATGGAGGGTGTCGGTCATCTTGTTGTTTCAATTGCAAATTTATTCCAGTACACAAACATTTGCACACTGAAAAGTTTTTACAATAAATATGAATACATGTGATGTTACTTTGTAAGAATAGGTATTTCTTAATGAAACGACTTAAATGCAGAACATACTGATTTTACCTTGCACTGAGAAAAAAAAAATGTTTTAGAAAAAAACAGAACAAAAAAGCTAATTCTTGTGATATTGTACTGCAGAAATTGCTGTAGCAATCCTGTGATATTTAGCTGTGTTGGTATTACCACACAAAAACAACAGAGAAACCACATACTTCATCCAATGGTAAATTCCTGTGAAATTTCACTGCAGAAAGTGCTGTAGTAATCCTGTCATATTTAGCTTTGCTCATTTTTTTGTGTGGTAAAGTTATGTTGTACTGCTGAAATACCACAGGATTACCACAGGACATTTTTGTAAATCCGGTCGCACACCAGAAGCGAACTTAAGTCCAACTTTTGTGCTACAGAAAAGCCCAACAGTTTGTAACGACATAAGGGCATGTGCTAGCTAGACAATATTTTAAATGTCATCCTCTAGTATTAATTATCATAAAAATTCACATTTTCAAAAGAACTCCTCGTATTATAGTAAAACAGATAGTGAAGGGTTAACTAGTGAGTCTTTTCGTCATTTTATTTGATTTCTTTTTTATTACTACAGGTTTGGAACAACATGAGGATCAGATTATTTATTATTATTATTATTATTAATTTATTTTTTTTGCTTTGGATGAAGTTTTTATATTTTTATTGTTTTTATTCAATGATATGTGCATGATTGTGATAAATGTAGGCAGTTCCTTTGAAAATATGCTATATGTACCAGGGATGTCAAACTCCTGGAGGGCCGCAGCCCAGCAGAATTTAGTTCCAGCCCTGCTTCAACACACTACCTTTAGATTTAGTTTGATCAGGTGTGTTTAATTAGTATAACTGCAGTGTTACCCTGTAGATTGTGCAGTAAATAACTGTAAAATAGCCAGTGTTTTGCTGTAATAAAAGGAAACAGTATTTTACTGTAAAAGGAGTAGACTTTGTATGAAATTGTGTAGTGCAAAGAATAAATTACAGTAATTTATTTTATGTACTCATTACAACTTTGACAATAAATAGCAAATTACTGTTCAACCATTACCGTCCCATCCACTCTGATGCTTTATGTTGCTAATTATAGAGACGTGCATTTTGAAGGCTGAAAACAATGATTTGGGCATCACCACACACTCCCACAGGCTGTCTGTCTTAAAAAGTTTTCAGAAAATGCTGGCCCTTTAAGGGAGTCAGGTGTTTGATTTGTTTACTGCTGAGTGTGCTTCATTCTCTGTCCATCAATTCAGATGTAGAGTCTGATATGTTTTAGGCTTTAAATAAGAATCTACAATGAGTAAGTAAAATGTGTTCAAATGTTTTTGAGGGTTTCTAAAATAAGGCTGTGTTTTAAGTTATATTGTTGTTATCTTGAACTGTGTACTTGAAAGCTATACATTGTTAGCTAGTTAGCCCCTCCTCGTATAACTTCTTACATTTATTGTATATTGCATACTGCCATAATGTACAGATGTTAACAGTTTTATGTATCTTTCTGGCAACTAAGCCAAAATTAAATTCCATCGCCTCAGTAAGGTAACATGTGCACAGAAATCATCACAGGGAATCACAAAAACATATGATACACTTAACCATCCACACACAAAAGCTCCACTGTCAGCTCCCAGGTTGTGAGTTTGTTGCTAAGTATTTTTCAGAGCTGTGTTTCCACCTATGAATTTATATTAGAAACAATAGAAAAGTTTGTTGTCATGAGATTTTTTAAGTAAATAATAATTATAACAATAAAATATTGGATTCTTTGGTTTTTCGGTGTTGCCGACTTTATTTTTGTTTATATAATTATTTGTAACTTTTTATTGAGAATTGAGTTTTTAATTATTTTAAACTTTAACATTTAAAATAATTAGTTTTTTTTTTTTTTTGCATGGTCAGCATTGAGGAGAGAGTAACACATTTCACCGCAGCACTTTGTGTGTGTGTGTGTGTGCATGTGTGTATAATACCTATACCTGCTGCAGTCAACCTTAAACCTACAGTAGGTTGACATAAAACCAAAACAACACCCATTCTTGTCTTAGGACATTTTATTTGGCAAATTTTAAAATAACAGTAAGTATATGTGACATGTTAAATATATAGTATAATTTGCTGGTTTTAAACATACAGAATAATAATAAATATAGTTATGAAACAACCATAACACCAAATGTTGACTAATGAAAGTACATTTATAACAACTATTTATTTGTTAGACTTCTGTATTGTCAAACCATGTTGCATACAAATGCATTCAACAGACTTATATGACAGTGCATTGCTGTAGAGGACAAATAAAACACGAGACAGGTGTTTAGAAAGAGTATAGTTTATTTAGTTTGACATGCAAACTTATCTAAACAAGACACACTTTCAGAAAACAGCCCGGAAACATTATAATGCGCGCGCTCGTGAATATAACCCGCGGTTGTCTTCAACTGTTGTCTTCAATAGTCCTTCTTTGCTCAACAACTGAGCTGAAAAACAAAGCAAAACATTACAACAGTCAGACATGGAGCAAAGAGCATAGAATTACCAAGAGGCGACACTCTACAATTTGGGAAACAATAACGCGCTTTTTGAATAATATAAATAAATAAAAAGCAGCTGCTTTCCATCGCGACAGCAATGACGAGCGATCGCTATCACTTGAAACTGGCGGAATCCGGGTCTGTTGCTCTTGGTCATTCTAAGCTCTTTGCTAAAGGTTTAATCATAACAGTTACCATGGTTTCTATTTCAAACTATAGTAAACTAAAGTTTGAAACTATAGTTTAAAATAGAAGATGAGTGGGCCTCGCTACTCCCACCCACCATAACCCTCGCAGCGAGGTCCCACTACCGTCCGCCCGTGTTTCCCCGAGGGTCCTCGGGGGTTATGTTCTCCCTGCCTAGGGCTCAAAGGCCGCCTCGCTGACAGAGCACACGAGCTTTATAGGAATGCATATGCAAATTTTTACAAGGCACGTCACTGTTGTCTCGCTGTCATGGCGAGCGCTGAGGAGGGCTCACCTGATTGGACCACAGAGACTCAGGAATCTGCGTCAGGGCGAGTTGCCGTCTGCTGTGGACAAAAATATATTAAATATATTTAATATTAATCCAGCGAAAGTCTCGAAAGGAAGGCTTATTATTATTATTATTATTATTATTATTATTATTATTATTATTATTATTATTATTATTATTATTATTATTATTATTATTATTATTATTACTATTATATAGGCCTAGTTTGGAAACAATCGTGCAAACCAAGTGCTGCTCGCAAATCTTTTGCTCAGTATCAGGTGCATAGCAGCAAATTTGGCGGCGAACTATAATAGTAATGATAAATTGTAATGATAAATGTCTAATAATACTGCTAATATATTATATATTAAATATAATATATTAAATGCCTGGGTGCTGATCCGCAGAGGACGAAGACTACAGGACTGTTATTTTGAAGGCGACGTCAGGAGCCCAGATTTGATTGACCAATCAGAGGAAATGGGCGTTTCAGAACCGCCTACATGTGGATAATGAATTTTAAAGTCATTTATCCGTTTTCCTACCCTAAACCAAAAAAAGAAAATCGAGCCAAAATCAGTTATTTAATTTTTTTGTAGCCAAATAAAAAACCGAAAAACGGCCGTTTCCTCGTTTTTTAAATTTCGTTTAAGATCAAAAATCGAATGAACGCAACGTACACGGACCTTAAAAACACCGAAATCGTTTATGAACTCAACGCTTAACTCCGCGAAAGGTTTTGTTCGTCCACTTATACAGTAGGCGGTAGATGGCAGAAACCGTCAGTGTGATCAGGAACTGTGGGCATCTTTATTTATCCTGCTGCACGAGCATCATGTGTTTACAGTTTCTGCATTAATGTGTGAAATCTGGGAGATGGCAGATGATAATGTCATAGCCCGGCTCGGCAGCATGAAGGCTCTGCTGGGGATTGTGGCAGGAGCCGGAGCTTCATATGGCATTTATAAACTAGTCTTTGGTCGTACGAAAGATGGAGGAGTAAACAAAAAGAAGTCTGCAAAAATTGTAAATATTCAGCCTGGAAGTTTGATGGCCAAAGTATCTGGATTTAAAGTTGTCAGTAAAAATGATCATCTGGATCCTTCTGCCGATACTGAATCTAGTAAGTTAAGTTAAGTGACATTTAAAATGGTTTTCATGTTGAATATTAAAGCTAAAAATGTCTATAGATAGCCTTTAAAAGAGTCTAAAAGATTTATTTTCCAGTCTTATATAGTGAACGTTCAACTGGTCTAGCCAGAGGAGCAGATAAACAGTTTACCTAACGTTAGTGTAACTTAACGTTAACGTGAACATGGAAGATTTGTATCCGTTATTGTGGTCCTTGGGTCATAAAATGCAAGTCAGTGGCACTGGCACTTTGTGAATAAAAACAACAAAAACAGGCAAAACAAACTTAGTCAAGTGTTATCTCACCCAAAAAAAAAATTTCTAACCCTGTTTTTTTTTTATCAATTACTTACCATCATGCCATGTCATTACAAATCCTGAACTTTTTGTTCATCTTCTAAACACAAATTAAGCTATTTTAGATTAAATCTGAGAGCTCTCTCTTCCTTTAAAGTGCAGAAAAGAAACTAAAAGCAAAGTCAATACATGTGACTTCAGTGGATAAACTATATTCATATAAAGCTCTAAGAACACTTTTATGTGCCAAGACACTGTAAAAACCACTTTGTTTGCCTTTGTCTTCTCTTCTACATCATGCATCACTTACTACTATGGGCAGTATGATATTGAGGTAAAGTTGGTTTCTTATCCGCATAATCTTGTGACACTATATAGTTTACCACAGTACTTTGAATGTTCAGTCTGGAGTCACTTGTAAATCTGACTTCAAAACAACAATAGCAATATTTGATTTACTGTGAACAATGTTGTACTTTGTTAGTCATTAGCTGCTTATATAATTTTCCTATTTTGGATTATCAAAAAATACTTTATATATATTATTAAGGAGAAAGTCACAATGTGTGAATATAAAAACAACTTTACCTCAATCACTATGATATTTCCATTAGCCTTAGCAGTGCAATACGCAAGCATCAGCATCAAACTTTTTGACTCTAAAAGCGCAGAGAGTTGTTGACTTTTATTTTATACATCAAAAAGCACCACTGTTTCAGATAGAAATCCTCTTTAATGTTCTGTTAAAGAAGAAAAGTGGCCTACATCTTTTGGCTTGTGGTTTGTAACTTTTTTTTTTTCTTCTCATAAGATGATATTCACTCAAAATCTGCTGCCAGCCTGGAGCCTCGGCATCTCAGTATGCTCCTCTCTCTTCTGCAGAGCAGTCCAAACCCAGAAGAGAGGAGAAAAGTGCTCGTAACAATAGGAAATTCTGCTGCCTTCACAGTAAACCAGGTATTTTAATTGCCTGTCTTCTGTAGATATTGTAATTAATATACTTTTATATGTTTTGACTTATAAATGAGTAAAAAGCACTTTACAGTTGATGTGTCTTTTGCTTTTCTTCTTTAGGATCTTCTGCGAGAATTTGGAGGTCTTCACATTATAGCAGGTTTTCTGTCAGACCCTTCTCCTGAGATTCGTGTTCAGACTCTGAACACTCTGAACAACTTAAGCATGAACATCCGCAATCAAGAGCAGCTTAAGGTATTTTTTAGAGATGCTGTATTTTTTGTTTTTAAATCTCAGTGGATTGCTTTTGGATCAGTGTTATTATCTGAAGTCATTGAAAATATTTTTTTTTGCTAAAATATTAATATTAAATAAAAAAGTAAATATATTTTATATAATTCTCAATAATTGTATGCAGTTTTATGCAAAATTTAAATGACGAGACAAAGTTGTCCCAAAATACCTTTTCAGGCATAATAGAACAATTACAAAAATACATTCATTCATTTATTTTCTGTTCGGCTTAGTCTTTTCATTAATCAGCCAATTTAGCTTATTCAATTCACCTATAGCGCATGTCGTTGGACTGTGGGGAAAACTGGAGGAAACCTACTTGAACAAGGGGAGTACATGCAAACTCCACACAGAAATGCCAACTGACACAGCCGGGGCTCGAACCAGCAACTTTCTTGCTGTGAGGCGATCATGCTACCCACTGCGCCACCGGGACGCCCCCAAATACAAGTGAAGTCAGAATTATTAGCTCCCCTGAATTATTATCCCCCTTATTTATTTTTTCCACAATTTCTGGTTAAGGGAAAGACGATTTTTTAGCACATTTCTAAACATACTAGTTTTAATAACTTTCTAATTTCTAATAACTGTTTTTTTAAACTTTGCCAGGAAGTCAGTAAATAATATTTAACTTGATATATTAGATATTTTAACTAGATAAGAGACTTCTATACAGCTTAAAGTGACATTTAAAGGCTTAACTAGGTTAATTAGGTTAACTAGTTAGGTTAGGGTAATTAGACAAGTTATTGTATATCAATGGTTTGTTCTGTAGACTAAAAAAATTTGCTTAAAGGGGCTAATAATTTTGACCTTAAAATGTTTTTTTAAAAAAATTAAAAACTGCTTTTATAATAATCAAAATAAAGCAAATAAGACTTTTTTAAAATATCAGACAAACTGTAAAATTCTCTTGATCTGTTAAACATAATTTGAGAAATATTTAAAAAAGAAAAAAAGAAAAAAAATCAAAGGGGGGCCAATAATTGTGACTTCATTCATTCATTCATTTTCTTGTCGGTTTAGTCCCTTTATTAATCCGGGGTCGCCACAGCGGAATGAACCGCCAACTTATCCAGCAAGTTTTTTACGCAGCGGATGCCCTTGCAGCTGCAACCCATCTCTGACATTCACATACAATCCCAAACATTCACATACAATCATTCACACACTACGGACAATTTAGCCTACCCAGTTCAACTGTACCGCATGTCTTTGGACTGTGGGGGAAACCGGAGCACCCGGAGGAAACCCACGCGAATGCAGGGAGAACATGCAAACTCCACAAAAACAAAACTAGCTGTTAAAAAAAATATGAAAAAATATGAAATACAAAACTAGCTGTTTAAAAATTATATTTATACTTTGTTAATATACTTTAAATAACTAGGATTTACTTATTTGTCAGCAAAATGATTTTAACATTAAATTTTTTTTTTGTATATATTCTACAGTGCAGTTGTTTTATTTGTTACACCAAATGATGATGGAACATTATTTTACCCATATTTTGGCATGTGTATTTTCTCCTAAAAGAGAAAATGTAATATGCATTTAGTATGCTTTCTATGTGTATGAAATCACAATTTCGTTTAATGTGGACAACAAAATAAGTATATTATAATTTAATAGGTATTAAAAGTAATTTAATATATAGTTTGACCTATTTATAATTTAATAAATGTATGAATACTGCTATAATTTTTTTTTAAACAAATGTAATATTAACATTACAAATCATTTTTTTAACTTTTGAAAATAATCATAGATATACAATTAAAAATATACACAGTTTTTTGGAACTAAAATCTACATTTTTAACAGAAAAAATGCTAATTACAAATAAAACTGATAAAATTAAAAACGATATAATATTAATAAAACTTTATTAAAAGCAACTCTTCAAAATGTTGCATTTGTAGCTAACTGAAGTAATTAGGATGATGTAATACAATTACTGAAACTAAAACTAATATAAAAAATGATAGTTTTATAGATGTGTTATGACAAGCATGTAAATTAATTGTTGAAATTTTGACAAACATTGTTTTGAAAAGTATGTATTTTATGCTTTGTTTGTTTGTTTATTTATTTATTGCTGTAGTTTGAACAGTTGCTGTCGTAATCTCTTTTTTAAAAATAGTTTAACAAAGAGACTTTTCTCAAATAACACTCTATCAAATGCCTGTTTTTCTATTTTTTTTCCTAATGGACGACATGTTTTTGCTCTTGCTGTTGTTCAGATTTACATCCCTCCGGTGTTGCAGCTGATCGAAATGTCACCAGTGAACTCTGACCTTCAGCTTGCAGCTCTCCGATTACTGACTAATCTCTCAGTAACCGACTACCACCAGCATCTGATGAAGACCTCCATCACCCTCTTCCTGTCGCTGCTCGTAGTGAGCAATGAAGTCCTACAGGTGATCTAGAATAAAGTCATGGTCTGCTCAAATACGCATTACAGTTTGGGATCAGTAAGAGTTTTAATAATAATACAACAACTATTCTGCTCAACAAGGCTGCATTTATTTCATTAAAAAGATCAAGTTCTGTAAAATTGAGAAATATTATTACAATTAAAAATAATATATATATATATATATATATATATATATATATATATATATATATATATATATATATATATATATATATATATATATATATTTTTTTTTTTTTTTAATTCAATGTAATTTAAAATATAATTTGTTCCAGGGATTTAAAAGCTGAATTTTCAGCATCATTACGTCATGTTGATCCCTCAGAATCATTCTAATGTGACTGGTTGCTGTTAAGATCAATTATTATTGGTTCACAGTCATAAATAAAAATGTGTATAATTATCAGTGTTGAACTTTTTTTCTTGCTTCTTTAGCAAAAACAGTTACATGTTAATTTTTATGATTGTTTTATAAAAGAATTTATAATCATAGCAAGATAACATCTTCTTATTTATCTATTTATCTATAAAGCTTTTTACATTACAAATGTTTTTTTAATTGTACTTTTAACTAACCATATCACAGTTTCTGCAAAAATATATAGAAAGCCAACAGTTTTAAACACTGAAATTAATAATAATAATATTAATAGTAATAATAAATGTTTCCTGAGTAGCAGATCAACATATTAAAATGATTTCTGAAGAATCCCAAACTAAAACATTCAAAATGATTAGCCCTCCTGTGAAATTTGTATGGTTTTTAAATATTTCTCAAGTGATGTTTAACAGACTCAGGGCATTTTCACAGTATTTCCTATAATGTTCTTTTTTTTTCTTCTAGGAAAAATTTGATTTCATTAAATTTCATTAAAGATGTATTTAAAAAATTAAGGGCAATATTAGTTGGCGGTTTATTCCGCTGTGGCAACCCCTGATAAATAAAGGACTAAACACAGGGAAAATGAATGAATAATTATTCATTAGCCCCTTAAAAAATCATTGTCTACAAAACAAGCAACTGTTGTCCACCTAGTTATCCTAACTTGCCCTGTTAACCTGATTAACCTCGTCTTTAAATTGTACTTTAAGCTGAATACTAGTGTCTGGAAAAATATCTAGTAAAATATGTACCATCATTATGGCGAAGACAAAAGATATCAGTTATTAGAAATTAGTTGTTAAAACTATTATGTAAAAAAATGAGATGAAAAAATCTTCACTTCATTAAGCAATACTTGGGAAATATTTTTAAAGTAGAATAAATTTTCACAGGAGGGCTGATAATTATGACTTGAACTGTCTATTATGTACACAATCAGATATACTAAACATTTAATTTGTTTCTGCAGATCCAAGTGCTGAAGGTCCTGGTAAATCTTTCCTCCAATCCAGATTTGATGGATGATATTGTGCAAGCTCAGGTGAACAAACATCTTTTATGGTTTCAGCTGTTGGGCTTTTTCTTCTATCATATGAACACAATATGATTATTAATAGATATATCTATAAATATTCACCTGGGTTGCTAGGTGGCTTAGTTTGTCTCATTGCCTGCTGTTGATGCCCATATCTATTTTAAGGCACTCTGTCGCCATGATGTATTTTGGCTCTGTATAGTTTGCACATTTTTAAAGTATCACATTGCAATTTTTTCCCACTGTATCCATTTATAATATTGTGGTTTTAAATCAATGAGAATGTATTTAATTTATTGTTAGAAAAAGCTTTACTTTAGCATTTATTGTTTGTGGGGCTTCACTATTTACCTAAAATAAAATAAATGAATTAATGAATAATGTTATAAAAATAACAGTGCCACACTACATTTTTTAATTATCATTTGTTAAACCATTATTTTACTTTCTTTTTGGGTATATGAAGTATAAAATTATATGTAAGTATGATTAAAAATAATAAATGAGCAAAATAATGTACATGTATTTATTGTTTGATGATTTTAATAATTACTAAATAATAAAACTAAACAATAGCAAATATACATTTTGTAATAATTGATAGGTTAAACCATAATTTAACTTTTATTTTGGCTTTGCTTGATTTGGTGAGATATTTAAATTGCAATTTTTAAAAATCAATTATAATAATTAATATTTTTAATTTTATTCAGTAATTAAATAAAATAAATAAATAAATGGAATATATTTGAACACATACAGACTCTTACAGTCTCTAATATTTTATCAAATACAGAACAAATACACAGCATACATTTAGTCCTTATTTGGGTTCAAAAACAACACACAACATAAAGCTCAGTCAGTGCAAACCTTTCATCAGTATCTATAATCTTCATCAGCACATGTAGCCTCTGTTAGAAAGTAATTCCCTCATTCCGAGTACATAATAGTCCAAAAGGCAATGATAATAGTTAAACATGGCAGTTTGTTCATGTTTTAGGTTGCTGAAAAAATCAGTTGCTCCTTTTTTTTCGGCTTCTCATTCTAAGCTCAAGAAGTTTGTTATTTCAAATATAGACCCACACACGAGTGCATGAGAAAGTAAAACCACTCGCTGTTTTAGACGGCCTTGTAAAACTAAAACAGGACAAAGCAGATTTTGATCTTCTTGGCTTTGTGGCTGTTCACCAAGACGACGACCAAGTTAGTTTTTTTGCTCGTGTCTACCATGGCTCAATATTATATGTATTTAATGTTGCGATAAAGTGTCTCGGCTGTGTATTTAAAAATGGAAGTTTCTTTGTTTTCATTCTCCTCACTTGTGCATGCTTTTCTGTAAACCAAAAGCATTCAGCTGCACTTCTAGCTCCGCCTTTTGGTACCCTTTTGTCATCCTAGGGTACCCTTTCAAAAGTACCTCCTTGAAATAATTACATTATTTGTCATACAGCCTGAAATCAAATCACATTCCAAATAACTTTTATCAGCCTTTGGAATATTTCTGTTGCCTTCTCTTAATCTGTGCCTTTCTACAACTTCATCCCGAAGGTCTTTTGAATGTACTGTGTGTAAAGCCATAAATTTTCACAGGGGTATGATGATTTTCTATAAGCACTCCATTTTCACACACCTCTCCAGTAACCTATAAATCTGTTGCCAGGCTCCAGCCTCCTTGATCGTGTTGTTTGACGGCTGCACCAGCACATCAGTCCTCCTCCGCCTACTGTTTTTTGTGGGGAATCTGCGCGCGTGGAGACCTTCGGCTCAGGTGGCTGAAGCGCTGAGGAGGAGACCGGACTCTCTCTACTGTGTTTTACTGGACGGCTCCTCTCAGCTCCACCAGAAGCTGCCGCTGTTGTTTTCTCATCCAGATGAGGAGGTGAAGACGCAGGTAGCCAGACTCCTCACGTAACAAATAAAAGTTTTACTGCAGTTCTGCTGGTCTTCTATGCTAACTTAAATGGTTAGTTCACACCAAAATGAAAATTCTACAGTTTTCCCATCCTCATGATGTTCCAAACCAATAAGACTTTCATTTAATTTCACAACACAAATGAAGATATCTTTAAAATGAAATCTGAGATTACCCGTTCACCCAAAACTCTCTTTAACCTTTCATTAGGATAACATCCATGTGAAACTGGCAGTTTATTTAAGGTCTTCGGAAGACACAAGCTTGCTTTATATGATGAACAGACATTTTTGGTATTTGTTATCATATAAATAATAATAATAAACTTATTTTTAAATATGGCCTCTAAAAGTAGCATCTCAAGGCACTGTACAGACATAAAATATGCAGAAGTAAAAGATACATACAAGGATGTATGCAAAAAAATTTGATCAGTGAAAATAAATAGGAAATAAACTATAGCCAATTAAGCTTAAAGATGTCACATGACCCTCAAGAATGAATCTTACTACTGTAGGTATGCTACAACTTCAGCCAGCGTCAACAAAATGATCACCATGTTTACATGGCAGACCACATGGTGTGGGACAACTGGCATGCACTGACTCAGATTCGATTGGTCTGTGCAGCACTGCATAAAGTTGAATTTGACTAATGGTTCTCATGGAATCTCAATGTCATGTGATTGCTCAAGAATGAAACTCAACTCAATCGTGTCGTGTAACACTCGAGAATTAACCTCATTGGTTTATGTTGAACTCAAATAAGGCACTCAAGAATGAGCCTGATTATGTGTTTTCACACTGTGCTTAACCCATATTATCATTGTTCTAAACCACGGTTAAAATCACATGTTACACCTGTAATTCGATCGCTGTGTTAGCACCAAATTTTAGTTGGAGTTATGAAACTTTGCTCCAGAGTTAGGGTTAGCACTGCATTTGTGGGACAGTTAACCTTGCGTTGCGGGGCTAACTTTGCTCAGTGTGACACAGAGCAGTATTTCCTTGTTGTTGCAGGATGCTTAGTAACAGATCAGCCAATAAGAAATTAGGCAGCAGGGCTCATGTCATGTTAGCAATGGGAAGCTTGCATCATGTAAACAACAGTCAGCGAGAGAAAATAGTTTAAACCACACTGAAAAAATGATTTTGCTATATGTTTAAACGACTTGTTTAAAACAAAAATCGATTGTGTGGAAGGCAGCATTTTTTACAGTTCACGTAAACTGGGGTTGTCAGTCATTCAGATTCATACATTTGTACTTTTATGCTTGTTTTTCATTTCTTTGCGCATCTCAAATAGCTAAAGACTACACAGTATAATTTTTTTAAACTGACGAGCAGATCTGGAAATGCTGTGTAAAAAGGTTGCCGACACTCGAAATAAAAACGGTAACCTGGGGTTTTGGAATGTATGCAGTATGTACAGTGTAAAGCGTCTGTTATTGAATACCCAAGATCATTCATTAACTCCTGGTATAGTTTGAGTGGTGTAAAACCTGATTACAGATAACCCAAAATTCTGTTTATTCAGGGTTTTGGATAAAAAATTTAAAGAAAAAAAAGCCCCATTAGTTCGACATGAAGCTCCACAATTGGTTGGTTCTTACCAAAGACATTGATTCATGCCACATGATTCTAAAGAACGAACCCCATTGGTAATTGGGGAAGTTGTGACATGACACTGGATAATTTACTTCATTGGTTCTTGTGGAAGTTTTGGGTGAACAGACTTTGAATGGAGCAGAAATCTCAGATTTGGTGCATAGTATTTTCATCTGTGTTTTAAGAATGATCAAAAGTCATACGGGTTTGTAAGGTCATGAGGATGAGCAAATGGTGACAAATTTTTATGTTGAGGTGAATTAACCCTTTAAATGTCAAGACTTGCACTAATTCTTCAGTGTTGATCTACTCTACTCGTCGCAGGCCATCAGTATCTCCAACGAATGTTGGAAAATGAAGAAATGACACCCTTGGGCATTTTGAGCTATGTCTGTGAACACCCCAAATCTCTTAGAGAGAACCTTAAAGAACATCTCCACTGCCTAAAGTTTACTTGCCAAGAGAATGCATCTCAAAGCTTGCAGGGATTTTCTCTGACCACACTAAGTGCTTTGGATATCCAAATTAGTAGTGGGAAGGATTAAAGTAACGTCTCTACATGTCTTTAGAAATGGCTTTGGGGGGAAGGGGTTTGGAATAATGCAAGTGAAGTTTACCACTAAACAAAATTTATGCAGGTTATGCTGAAGCAGTAATGACCCAGTAAAATCCCTATTTTTACAGACTCTGTGCAAAGATTGTACTGCCATTGCTTGATTGTTCTTATGCTCTGTGATAAGATTGACATGGCTAGCAATTTATTATTTAATAAGTGTTTATCTTGTTATTAGGCAGTTATAAAATAGCACTTTTTTATAATTGCTACATTTATTTTGTGAATAATTCTTTAAAATAAATATTTGCTTTTTAGTAATGTGTGTTAGTTGTATTTGTTCATGGGAACTGTATTTTAATATTTATTTTTAAATAACATTTATGTACACTTGAAGTACAGCTGTGTGTGAGAAACTAGTTGGAAACTAGTTTCAGTAACTTGCCTGGGGTGATATCCATTTATTACACATATATAAGTATCATAAACATTGACACTGTCAGCAATGTTATTAATTATTTTTTTCATATTATGAGACAATTATTTAAAAAAAAGTTTATTTTGCAGTTTAATACTTGATTTAACTTTATTTTGAAATGTTTTCTGGCATTTCATCAGGTTTATTAAAGTGTTTAGTCATATTTACATTGTAAAGTTTTTTTTGTGCACATGAAGACAATTTGCCCTCTTCAAATTTATTTTAAATTCAGACCAATGGTGCTATTTTAACATGCTTTTGTCAATTTTAATATGTTATTTTTCATTTGTTCTATTATTGCTTTATGTGTATTGTGTATAGTTTTATATTTTACTTTTTTAGAATTTTTGTGTGTTAAGTTGCTGTTTAGAGTTTTATATTTAAACTAATGTTATTAAATGAAAATAAGATCCTGAGCCACGAGCCAAAATAAATGTTAATTTTTTATATTTTATTTTATGTTTGTTTCAGTTGATCAAGATGGTTTAGTGGTGAGGATTTATCTTCATACACTCTTAAATCGCTCTTCTGTTTAAAAAAAAACTACATTTCCCACTATTCTTATGAATTCACCCGGGTTGCCACGTCCTTTGAAATTAGTGGCTCGGTTCTATAATTTATCCACTTGAATATTATGTGTTTGTTTATCAACATTTTGGATCCCGTTTGAAATGTGTTTAGAATAGTCTCAAAATGCGCAGTTGCTGTATTTTTGCATTTTATTTAAGCAAAGGATCATCCATCTTGTGTTTATTAGTCCGAGAAATTCGCTTAGTTTCCTAGTGGGATCTGGCAACAGTCGCTCGGCGTTAGTGCGACTTGAATCACATGAGTCAGATTACTGAAGAACTGTCAATCGAGTCTGCGTGCGATGACAGAAGAAATGAGCTGAAATGACAACAAATGTAGAGACGCGGAGAAGGAAACATGACACAGAAACGCAAGGTAAACAATAACCCAAAGTAAGAATACTGTATGTGAACTGAAGGACTGTAAGTAACACACTTCGTTTGTCAACATTGTAATACATTATCACCAGAGCAAGCAGTTCTAATTAGTAAAGACTTCATATACTCAACATTAAATGTATATAAACAATGTTTACATGATATGTTCTTAATTATTAGAGCTTCATAACGTGTCATGATTTATCCTCTACGTAAATGAATCAGTTTTTGTCAAAGCAGTATTGTAATGCATTTGCAGACAGTGTGGTTTCTGTCGTGAAAAGGTTCTGAAACCCTTAAGACCGCATTAGTCCAAACTTCCCCATTTACTGCATTTCCTTTAGGTCAATTTTTTTTTGTACTAGATTTAAAGTAAAACGTGTTGATGTTTAAGAACTAAAAGCATTTTAAGAGCGTGTGTTTCTGTAAATACTGTATATTTAAAATACAGTGATATAATAATAATGATTACATTTTCTCAATCAGAATTAGTTTTGTTTGCATATAACACTTCTTTTTGTTTGGACTACACTGTTTTAGCATAAATTCATTTGATATAATGTTTATTTATGAATTTCAACTTAAATGTACTGTTTGAATATCCAAATTCATTATGAGAACTAAAATTATGTGTATAAGCAATTCATAAAGCTGCAAACAGGCATTGCAAATAACACAATCATACAAAAATGGCAAGAAAATATAATATAAAGTTGCTGGTTGTATCTAAAGTTTATTGGGAAAAATACATATATAACATATATATGCTAATACATATATGTACATGAACACAGATGTTCAAGAATTTTGACAACTTGGAAGATTAGATCACATCATTCACAGTGCTTAAAAGGAATAAAGATCTCTAAAAGAAAACTTAAAATATCATTTGCTGCCTTTTATTCTCTGCCACTCTGATTGGTGGAATTTTTGTAGAGCTTTGTAGGTAATGTAGTTTTCAGCATAATGTCCACTATTAAACAAATCTGCTAAAAAAAAAAAAAGTAAATTTTGACTAATAAAAACTTTTATGTTGTGATCTTGTCCCTCAGATCCTCCAGAGGAGCGTCAAGGAAATCATCTGCCCGGCTCTTTCAGTGAGAGGATCTGTGTAGCTCATATTCACTCTGAAACTAGTGATGGTCCTGCACACTCCTGTTTACTACAAACCAGCGACTCCTTCACGCCTAAACACCCACAGAGAAGTGAAAGCACTTTGCATTATTAGACCTGTTTCGCTTTATTATTATTATTATTATTTTTTAGACTTAACAGGATGCCATTACCTCTTCTTTTATTCCAGCATGCAGTTTTGGGGATGAAATACAAGAGGAAAATCCGCGGAAGACCACCATAAGTGCTGAGAATGAAGTAGAGGCCCAAAAACTGGCAAATAATTATAAGGTAAATATAGGATATGGTGTTTGGTTTATTATTACACGTTTATTATGCTGATGGCGTTTTATCTTGTAGTTTGGATTCAGGAAATGGAAGAGTCATGTGACGGAGCGGCCATTTCAGGATCGGTCAGAAATTGTGAAGGAGCTTTACTCTGAGCTGAATGTCATTAAACCACTTTCAGGTTTGACCAAGCTCTTCTTTCATTTCCTTCTGTATGTGAGTAGTGAGAGTGAAAATTTTGGACACATTTTAATAATTTTTTATTATTAATATATTGAAATTTTTTTCAACCAATCAAAGATTTGGTCCAACATTTGTAAAATTGTTAATGAAATTCATTCTTGACGAATTATTTAATTATCAGTTATTGTAAATATGATATACTGTACAAGTACAAATAACATTGTTTTCAATAAAAAAAAAAAACAAGTTTAAAGCAAACAAAACAAACATCATGCATACTTTCCAATTATTATTATTATTGTTATTATTATTATTATTATTATTATTATTATTATTATTATTATTATTATTATTATAACATGTGTATCAATAACAATTATTATATTTATTAATGTTGTAAGTAATAAAGAATCAAACTTTTGTTACTTTTAAACTATTTAAAGCTGTTTTTGTACATTGCAATCAAATAAATACATTTAATATGATTTTATAATTTGTTTTATAATCATTTTTGTCAAAAAATAAAACAAATTGATCTCTACTAACTGAATTCTATTTATTCTACATCAAGCAAAATTTAAACCGCGTTCATGATTTTATTGTTTCAATAATGTACACAATAGGCTGCTGATTGAATTCTAAGTAATATGAGTATTAGATGTATTATTCTGAAATTATTTTTCACTTACGCATCACATTTTTCAAACTGTTTATACATATTGCAGTTAAACAAAAAATAGCATTTTTATTTTGGTATTTGTACAAAAAGTAAGTTATATTTATACATTAAAACTAAAATATATACAGTGAATGGAGAGAAGATTGTTTTCAACATTTCTGAACATAATAGTTTTAATAACTCATTTCTAATAACTGATTTATTTGATCTTTGCCGTGATGACAGTACATAATATGTGAATAGATATTTTCAAGACACTTCTATACAGCTTAAAGAGGTTAATTAGGTTAACTAGGCAGGTTAGGGTAATTAGGAAAATTATTTTATAAAGATGGTTTGTTCTGTAGACTATCAAAAAAATATATAGCTTAAAGGGGCTAATAAGTTTGACCTTAAAATGGTGTTTAAAAATAAAAAAAACGCTTTTATTCTAGCCGAAATAAAGCAAATAAGACTTCCTCAAGAAGAAAAAAAATATTACCAGGCAAACTGTGAAATTTTCCTTGATCTGTTAAACATAATTTGGGAAATATTTTAAAAAGAAAAAAATAATTCAAAGGGGGCTAATAATTCTGACTTCAACTGTGTGTGTATGCAATTTTAAATAACTGAATTATATATATATATATATATATATATATATTCAGTTTTTTACAAACAAGGCATTTGTCAAAGCAGCCTTAATCAAAAAGTTCAAATTGTCAAATTTTACTGTTCTTGTGAAGTCTTGTGAAGCCTTCAGAGTCATGTGATCCTTCAGAAATCATTCTAATAGTTATTATTATTATTATTATTATTATTATTATTATTAATGGTAATAGCAACAAAACGATAATGACTGGTAATGATAACGATAACGATTAACGACTAATAATTTTATTTGAAAATACATGCAATAAGTAATAAATAAGTATTTAACAAGTTTGAATTATTTTTACATTTAATGAATGCCGCCTTGATGAACAGAATAGTTTTCTTTTAAAAAAAGTCCCTAAACATTATATATATATATATATATATGTATGTATGTATGTATATGTGTGTGTGTGTATGTATATATATATATATATGTATGTGTATGTATATATATATATATATATATATATATATATATATATATATATATATATATATATATATATATATATATATATATATATGGGTGTGTGTGCACACCATTTTTATTTCATACATTTCATAAAAAGAAAAAGAAATCTAGTAAATAGAGATTTGTGCCAGTATGACAGCAATCTACAATAAAAAATCTCTTCTATTCTCATGTTCAGCAGGGACATTATTCACATTTGGAAATATCCTCTATGTGTTTCTGTTTGGCTGGTGGATTTCTCTGGTTTACCTTATTGTTGGTGTCCTAATGTTCCTCACAGTACTTGGCATCCCATATGGTAAGAACTATCTAAATGAGTTCCAATAGTTTATTTGATTTGTTTAATTTTCATACAAAGGTGTATTATGTTGTTTCAGGGAAACTCTGCTGGAACTTGTCCTGCTATTTTCTCTGGCCATTTGGGAAATCCATCGAAAAGGTTCTACTTCCTTTTATTTCCATGCAATATTTGTGTGTTTTGCTATTTTTGATCATTTTAACACACAATCTCTATTATTTATTTGTGAAAATGAGGTGTTTTGTTAAATATGACGTCACACATCACAGTCTCTAAGTCTAAAAGCTCTTACAGATAACAAAAGCAAAAACAAATGGTATTATTATACTATTACAACCTCTTTGATGTTAGACTAGGGTAAAAGGAATAACATTTCATGTGTTGCCATTTTACCATGTGATGGTGGAAGCAAAAGACATGGACAACGGAGATGACAACAAATAATATTTAATGTACAAAAGTGAAAACCATACAAATGCCCAAATATATATTCAAAAATGAAATATTTACAATAATGAAAGCAGCAAGTTAAAAAAAGAAAGTATTAAACAAAATTTTAGCTCAACTCCGCAGTAAGGGGACAAATGTGAAGTCAAGCAAAAGAAAGAAATATAACAAACAATTCTAACTCATGAAAAACTCCTTACCTCGCAAGAAAGCATATTGAAATAAAAGAAAAGGAAAGTCTTCTGCAACGTGCTGCGTCACACAGTGTGCTAACATACATTAGTAATCTCTATGATGGCGAAGCAGTGGCACATGTTCTGCTTGCGTACACTTGGGTTTCCTCCGAGTGCTCCGGTTTCCCCCACAGTCCAAAGACATGCAGTACAGGTGAATTGGGTTGGCTAAATTGTCCAAAGTGTATGAGTTTGTATGGATGTTTCCCAGGGATGGGTTGCGGCTGGAAGGGCATCCGCTGCGTGAAACATGTGCTGGATAAGTTGGCGGCTCATTCTGCTGTGGTGACCCCAGATTAATAAAGGGACTAAACAGAAAATAAAAAATGAATGAATGAATGAATCTCTATGATGCTCTGACAGTGATTCATCTTCTATAAGTGGTTTAGGTTACACTTTACAATGAGGTTGTATTAGTTTATGTTAATTAATGTATTCACTTGCATAATCAAACAATGAACAATACATCAATAACAGCATTTATTAATCTTTGTCAATGTTAGTTAATGAAAATAAAGTTAGTTAATAAATGTTAGTTCTTAACCCACAGTGCATTCACTAATGATAACAAATGTTATTGTTCATTATTAGTTCATGTTGGTAAATACTGTACGTTAACTAATGAAACCTTACAGTAAAGTGTGACCATGTTTTAAATTTTGGTGTCTGGAACGCAGAAAGTCCAGAGACTGTAATTACACCATCATTTTGTGTAAGATTCAGATTAATGCATAATATTACTAAATTGTGTCTATTGAAAGAGTTTTCTCTATTTAAATGAGTAGAGACTTTGTAAGGATAAACGCTGCTGTTTTCAGGCCAGTGTCAGTGTGCCGGTGTACAGTGTAAAGATCCTCCAGGATGGTTTATCTGTAGAAGAAGAGCATGATGGGAAGGCTTCATCTCCTTTTCTGCAACCCACAACGCTGGAGGAGACGACAGAAGAGCCCACCAGAGAGCCACACGACCACCGATATTGGGTAATAGAGTCAAACAGAGATCCTATCAAAGTCATCAAATTTATTTATTATTATTACAGGGTAAAAAAATAGGTACAGTATTATTATGACAGAATTTTCCTGTGTTACAACTACATTTTTTATTTTGCACTGCATTTCATTGAGTTTTTACGTATTTGTAAAATATCTTCACAATGTCTGTTCAGTGTGTGTGAGATGTTTATTTTTTACATTGTTTACATGTTGTATTCTTTATACAATGCTGATATTTGTACTTCAGATACAATTTTCATAAACAACCCAACAACAACCATTTTCTTAACCCACCGGTCTGTTTTAGTGAACTACAAATTAGCGAAGTAATGGAAAATGATATGAATATCCACCTACAGTTAAAGTCAGAATTATTAGCCCCCCTTTAATTTTTTTCTTTTTACATATTTCCCAAATTTCAAATTATGTTTAACAGAGCAAAGAAAATTTTTACAGCATATCTGATCATATTTTTTCTTCTGGAAAAAGTCTTATTTGTTTTATTTCAGCTACAATAAAAGCAGTTTTTAATTTTTTTTAAAAACCATTTTAGTCTACAGAACAAACTATTGTTATCCAATATCTTGCTAATTACCCTATATTACCTAGTTAACCTAATTAACCTAGTTAAGCTTTTAAATGTCACTATAAGCTGTATAGAAGTGTCTTGAAAAATATCTAGTAAAATATTATTTATTGCCATCATGGCAAAGATAAAATAAATACGATATTAGAAATTAGTTATTAAAATTATTTATATGTTCTATATTTATGGTGTATAATATAACATTTGATTATTACTGCAGAAATGTATCCTCAGTACTTAATCAGCATATAATAAATTGATGTAGTCTGTAGTTTTTTCTACTGTTATGACTATAGATTGTGCATGTCTCTTGATTTCAGTGTCGTTTGAGCACATACGTCTGGCTGTTGGTGGGTATTCCTCTACTGGCCGTCACACATTCACTGATGTGTCTAATCTCGTGGCTGCTGGTTTTCACCATCCCTGTGGCCAAGATGAGCGCCAAAACCTTACGCATCATCCTGCTCATGCCCCCTGAACACATCCACATCAGCCAAAACCCTGAGGTCAGAACCCTGCACGGTTATGATAACACACACTGAGCTTTTCCTGTCTATTAATTAAATCAATACTACATTAAAAAATGAAAACTCTTAAGGCTCTTAATATTCTCACCGTCAGGCCATCCATGTAATTATATTTTTTTACAGAGGTTTCAAAATGTAGTACTTTGAGATTTATAGTCAATGTCCAATGATACTTTGAGAGTCCAAAAAACAACAACAACAACTATCAAGCACGCAACACAAAATTGATACTTTATGATACATTGAGGTCATATAAAGCAAAACGATAAAGCAAAACTGAGAAACGAAACGCTTTTTATATGATTATATTTAATCCAAATGTCTCTGAGTGTTTTCAAGAAATTGTTATCATATTAGCCAGTTTTAATGCCTTTCAAATGTTTATTTTTAGGCTCAAGATCACGAAGTCCGAGTCATTCTGTGCTGCTACAGTGCAGTGAACCTCTACTATTATAAATACACAGTGGACGGGATCAACGTTTTTGCTGTCAGTATCCTTAACATTAAACTACAAATGCTGAATTTAAAACCTGTCAGTCTTTAAAACTGACCTTCAGACATATGTTGTCAGTTCACATCTGCAGTACTTGCTGCAAATAATATTTACACTAACATTTAAAGTTATATGGTAAAGTTTAAAGTCTGTGTTTAGGAGAGAATACTGTTGTTACTGCTAATATCTTATGTTCAAATACTGTGACATATCATTACAATAAGTATTTTCTATTTTTTAATATATTATTATACAATGTAATTGATTTCTGAGATTGGAAAGCGAAGTTTTCAGGTTTACTGTGAGATTTTCCAGTTTTCTGTGATCCTTCAAAAATACTTCTAATAGGATAGGCGGCAGCTAGCTGTCTGAAATTCTCACATGGTTGCCCACTGAAGCTAAGCATGGCTGCGCCCGGTCAGTACCTGTATGGGCGACCACATGGGAAAGCTAGGTTGCTGCCAGAAGTGGTTTTAGTGAGACCAGCAGGGGGCACTCAACCTGCAGCCTGTGTGGGTCCTAATGCCCTAAAATATATATATATATATATATATATATATATATATATATATATATATATATATATATATATACTGCTCAGTGAGCGCCGTCTTTCGGATGAGACATTAAACTGAGGTCCTGACTCTCTGTGGTCATTAAAGGTTCAGGACACCCCGGAGAACTTTTTTTTTTATATTAAAAGATGTGTGTGTGTTGAGCATCAGTTAAGACAATGTTAGCTCCTGTCAGCTTTAATTGTGGGGAAAACTGCATAATTTTGAGCTTTTGTCAGCTAATTTCAGCTTCCGGGTTTAAAATCATTTTTGGGGCGGGATCAAAATCGGCGACGTAGCACAGTACTGCAAGTGCAATGATGACGCGTCGGTTTCTCATTATTATTCACAGCAGAGTTTTCTTATCCTATGAGAAGAGCCGGCTGATTAATTATTCATGAGACCTGCCAGACATGCCAGTGTCAAGCCCGAGCTGAGAGACACGGAAACCACGGCACAGTATTTAGCCGTTCATGTAGGCTCATATGCGTTTGTTTCCATGATCCACGGGGTTTGTTGCATGTTTTCCCCCGCGATCTTGTCTGGGCCGATCATACAGCAAAGCTGTGTGCGTGCTGCTAGCATTTTTGTCGGGAGAGCAGCACGAGAATTAGAGAATGGCGGACGCTGTCTTTTATCAGGAGTTCGTTCACATTCAGACACATCACTGTGCTGCTGTGTTTGCCTAAATCCTCCAGATTACCAGCAGGGCTAATGGTTAAAATAGACAGGTCAGGAGACCTGCTGCACTTAGTCTGCTGGATACGGGGATTGAGGGAGAAGTCCTCATTTATAGTGTTTACATGAACACACATCTTTATAATGATATAAATTGTGGTTTTCTGTATATGAAATTACGAATAACAAATGTAGCAGGGCATTAAATCACTGTTCATTTCTTTGCATTTTAACTTTGTAAACTATAAACTCATGCGTCTCCTCACGGTTTGTGTCTCATTTTGTGAGCTAACTGACATCAACAGTTGTTCTCTCCCCTGCTGGCTACGCCCACTCCTGCCCGATGCTCGCGGAGCTCCACGCCCATTAATCATGCATCTTTTGAAAAAATTCTGAAGTAGACTTTAACCGAAAGTGGGGGGTGTCATGGCCCTTTAAAAATCCAAAGGATGTCCTTTGAAAAAGAGTAGGGGTTTAACCCCTGCATCCTGGCCAAATTTGCCCACTGGCCTTTGGCCTTCTAACCCTCCCCATATCATAATTGACTTCACCATTCCTCCTCACTACTAATCAGCGGTGTAAGGTGTGCCGTCTGGCACAATATGGCTGCCGTCACATCATCCAGGTGGATGCTGAACACTGGTGGTGGATGAGGAGATCACCCCAATGTGTAAAGTGCTTTGAGTGTCCAGAAAAGCACTATATAAATGTGAGCACTTTTTATTATGATTTTGTTCTTTAAAAAATCCTATCATTTTCTGTCTAAAAATTTTAAACATTTTGCTGCTTAAGGTTTAAGGAAACTAAATATTTGAAGAATAGAAGGTTCAAAAGACTTCTTTGAAATGGATATCTGTGAATTTTGATCAATATAATAGAACCTTGCAGTCGACGATTACTAATGTTAAAGGCACAATATGTCTGATTTTTTCATTAAAAATGCAAAACTACTTCATACTACCATGATGATAAGTTTTGAATACTTTAGGCCATACATGAACATGATTTCTGCACGAGTTTAATGGGATGCAATGAGGACAATTACCATGATTCCACATTCAGTCATGCTGTCATCAAACCATGCCTTTGTTTGTTATGAATATGCTCCCTCTAGTGATGAAAAGCTCATACTGCGCCTTTAACTGAAATGTTTGCGATTAGATCAAGTAATCAAATAAGAAAGTTAATCAAAAGTTTAATGCTGCAATTGAAATTTTCGAAAGAATGCTTTATTTTAATGTTAATTATTGAAAAGAATTACATGTTTACAAGAATTGCTGTTTTCCTTACATGAAGTTACTATAGATCTCTTACCTTTAGTTATAGTGTCACTAGTGATTGGTTATGTGGACCAAACAAACCAGTTTGCCAGTTCTGAAGTCAAATTCGCTACAGCGGTCAGTTCCATCATTCCGCTATCATATTACATTGGCATGGGCATTGCAAGGTGAGCAGATACCTGTGAGGCTGCTATAATACACCTGAACTAACAAATACCTGTGAGATACAAAATGAATTCAGCTTTTTTAGTGATCACAAGCGTTAACCAAGAAGTCATCACAATTTGCACTTGGAATCAGCATGAGTCAACAATAATTTTGTCACACTCTACATCATTTTTGTTGAAGCACTTGGTGCAATGGAGGAGTTTTGTTGAAAAAAATATAGTTTGAATGAAAGTAGATGAAGTGTAATTGCACTTGTGTGGCTGTTTGAATGCATTTAGCCACATCAGATTAAACTTTGAAAGTGATCTAATATATAAATGTGTGTTATGTGTTTTCGGTACATGTTGTTCAATTTTTCAAACCAAGAAATTTGTCCACTTGTGATTACTTGTACAAAACATCTTAATAGTAGATGCACATGTGTCTTGTCAGCATTTCTGCTCAGAGTAACTTTGCCGTCGGGGCTGTGGTGAACGCAACCTTTGGCTCCATCACTGAATTGACGTTTTACATCTCGGCGCTGCTCAGAGGTCATCATCAGGGAAACAAGTGTCTGCAGGAGATTGTGAAAGCGGCTCTTACTGGAACTCTACTGGGCTGCATTCTCTTCATACCAGTATGTGATTCAATACTAAAGAAAATCTCAAATCTTCAAAGAGTGCTATAGATGACTATTATATTTGTATATCTCTCTCAGGGGATCTGTATGATAATCGGAGGTCTGAAGCACCAGGAGCAGAGGTTTAACAGTCGCTCGGCAGGAGTCAGTTCCTCTCTGCTCTTCATATCGATAGGGGGTAAGACGTAATGCACTGTCATGAGTTGGCAGAAACCTGCTCGTTATTGTTCTGTATTAATTCAACTGGCCCTATTACGTGATTTTTAAAGTTGCCATAGAATGCATTGATACAATATGTTTGAATCGTTCTCTGATGACTACATAGAAGGTATACGGGTTGGGTAAGTGAAAAAATGATCCAGAAATGGATTCTACATGTATATTTATGACCCTAGGAGCTGGCACTAGAATAAAACGCTCTGTTTTTACCTTATTTGGAAGGGTCGTTAGTATTAATAAGCTCTGATCTGATGCTCCTACTGCATTTGCTGATGATCACAGAGTGAATAAATAAACATATATTTAGCATTCTCATGTGATGCTTTGTGCCTGTTGCTTCAAAGCTTAGTTGACCTACACGAGAGCTCTATAATTTAGATCCTGTTTTTAATAGGATGTGGCCAATCAAATGCTGCTGGGGGCATACATATTTATGAGCATCAGTGTTTTGATTAGGGTTGGGTATTGTTTGGGGTTATTTCGATGCTGTTGCTAAATCGATACTTTTAAAAGGGTAGCAGTGGCAAATGGTCCACAAAATAATCTACAAAATGATGGTGGTTGACTCCAGAAAAATCTTTTATTTGACAAAATTAAAAAAAATAACAATAATTTTAATTGAACAATATAATTAAAGTTTAAAGTATATGTCAATTCATATTTATATATTTGAATTGAATTGCATTAATATATGACTTTTGATCATTTGCTTGTAAGCATGAAATTATGATTTGCATTCTGCAATTAACAGTACATTAGCTTACTACTAACCTGTGGAAAGTCTGTCATCAAAATCAGGGAACACCTTGTATCTATGGTTTGGGCTTGTGACTACGTTTACATGGACATCAGTAATCAAATTATTTGAGTTAATCTGAATAAGACATTATTACGATTAAGGTGTTTACAAGAGTTGCTTTTAAAAATGTTCCTTTTCATGATCTCGTTTTACATGTTATAATATATATATATTAATTAACGCCATTGCGTCACTGTGCTATCCACGATTCCTCCGAAGTTTCATGTCATTATGGGTGTTTCATTTTTAATTTTTCGACTCAAACTTTTAGTTGATTCCATGTGCCCTCAAATGTTTCATTTAGTTTGACGTGTTTTCCCCCTTACACGCAATATCTGCTTCACATTGCTGTGTCAGAATCCTTTTTTGTAAAATATAGCCACACTTTAGAAAGCTTAGTTTAAAAAAATTGATGAATGCAATAATGCGTGTTGAACAATCTGAAAGGAGTTCACCGCTCACCGGATGCGCTATACTGTGCGCATAGCCTATGTGCGTGCATTCCCTAAGCAACAAGAACAAACGCCTAACAGCGACAGCGTATCCCTCAAAGTTGATTGGAATTAAATGTTTTAGAGATGGTGTGACACAATGCATACCTGTGTGCCTTTGATGCACCCCTTGATGCTTGTTGCAGCACCAGTGGCACTAAAATTAGGCACTGAAATTCATATGCTGATTTGGTCTGGTGTTAACCCGTTATGGGTTTTGGTACCCAACCTCAGTTTTGATTGGCCTTAATTTTGGGTTTTTTTTTCACTCTAAAAGCATTGTGAACTTTTAATGGGATAATCGACTGAAAAAAATTTTTATTCTGCTCGTTGTTCCAGGCCTGTTTGAAGGTGTAATTCTTTATTCTATTAAACACAAGAGAAGATATAATGAAGGAAAAATCATTCTTTCAAATATCTTATTTTGTGAAAGAATTCATAAATGTTTATGAATGCTAATTTATAAAATGTTTGTATATCTACTGAGGTTTATAAGTAACAGCAATTCAGACTTAAATCATAAACTAAAACACATTCAGAAAATTTGCAAATACATTTACCCAATTTAAAAGATAAGATAAATATAAATAATATTGGTTGTGCATTTATAATGTTTCTTGTTGTAAATATGACTTTGTGAATTGTGTTTTCATTCTTATACATTTGTATGTTTGCATTGTATGAATTAACATTTTAACTTACATATATTTTAACTTTCTATTGATCTCCTACTCTAGGAGTGTTTGCCCCTACGCTCTTCTCTAAAGCCTATGGGAATCTGGTGTGTGAGAACTGTACAAACTCCACAGGAACCAACAGCAGTGGCTCCTTCATGTGCAAAAACTGCCATTATGACCTGGTGAGATTTCCACCATCTGTCCTTTAATAATTTGTGTGATTAAATCATTTCTGCAATTACTGCACAATCCCATCGTCATTCCTTTTATTTTTGCTTCACTAGAGTGAAAACAACTACAGTCTGTTTCACAGTCACATTGAGTAAGTTACATATAACACACAGTACATATAACATGCAGATTATGCCATTCTGTCCTTGACATGTCTTTATCTTCCCAGGCCTCTAGTGTATACAGTTTCCTTTCTGCTGCCTGTCTCTTACATCATCGGCCTCATCTTTACTCTTAAAACGCATTCACACATCTACGACATTCACATTGGCGATGGAATGGGTGAGTTTGATAAAGTTCTAGCAAAATGATTAACAGAAATTCAAATAAGGGGTCAAATCTTTGTTGATATCCATGTCGATAAAGGAAGTTTCAAAAATACGCTTCATATAGGACCAATAGAAGTCAGTTGGTGTTTCTTCGTGATAGTGATATCAAACACAATGTTCATTTAAACTGTTTATAACAGAAATTCATGAAAGTGTTTATATTTTTGAAACATTAGTTGGTTTGAAAAACATGTACACTGTGTTCTGTTTTGGCTAACTGATTACTGAATTTTGATCCACTGGCAAGTTTGTTTGGACTGTTTGTTTGTTTTTTGTAGCTGACAGTTGGATGGAAAGCCTTGAATTTTTCAACAAAGACTACAAGTATTGACGATTCTGTGGATTTCATCTTTAAACTCTGATTGTTATTTTCATTTTCTAATGGTTTATAGTTTGTCTTGGCTATTCTAGCAGCTTTATCTTATTTTTCTGGAACCAGTCGAGAGTTGCTTGTCAGTATTTGAAATCATTGTCTTGCTGAAATGTCCACCGTAGTTGCATAATTTGCTCATTTTCTAAACTGATTAGTTTTGGTTTCTTTGCATGTATGGATTACTTTGGTTGTTACTGACATCTGGTGAAATCTTTGAGTCAGTGGCACCTTTTGAGAAAAATGGTGACATGTTTAGTACTTTTTTACTCGCTGTATAAATATGTGTTTATTGATTGTCTTTGTAAACATGCCCTTACATTGCAGCCTTTTGCGATTAGCTAATCATTACAGTATTTATCATATATGTTCATAATTGTGATAATAAATTATGGTATTAATGATAATGAAATTTTTCAACTGTAAAATTAACGTTAAAACTGATATATGTTCGTTTGTGTGTGTTCACAGCAAGTCATCTTGGAGCGTCAGTGCACTGGTCCCGATGGAGAGCTTTGCTTATTCTTATCTTCGCCACAGTCCTGATGTCTGCATGTGCCGATTTGACCACCGAACACATTCAGCCCATACTTAGCCACTCGTCTGTTTCTCAGGTTGATATTGCAGTATATCAAAATCAAACAGAAAAGGGCAGTAAATATGGTCTACCTGACTTTGTTTTTTCTCTCAGTATTTCATTGGTGTGACTCTTTTGGCCATGGTCCCTGAAATCCCTGAAATCGTCAATGGAGTCCAGTTTGCTCTTCAGAATAAAATCAGTTTGAGGTCAGTTTTGAGTGTGTGAAATAAAAAAATTATAAATTTATTTATTTTAATAAAGTTAATTAAACGGTATTTTACTGAGAGTAGCTTTTATGCTGGTACCTTGGCTAGATCACGAATAAATCAATAAAACACTAAAATTGCCAGTAGAAACACTGAATGGTTCATTCAATTGTTCATTTAAGCAATTTGATCAAAATGGCAGATTTATTTTGAAATAAAACAAGTTATATCTAAAGTTTTTATACTATTTATATTACTATATAGTAAGCAAAAAGCAGTAATGAAAAGTAGTACATCCTTATTTCATTTTTACCACACTTTATACTATAAAAAATGTTACTTTGTTGCAAATGAATTGCTTAATAAAAGTACCTGCTAAATGGAGTTTGCCATTTCGGATGTAGCCACTGTGTTTATGAATAATTTACTGAATTATTGGCTCAATCGGTTCGTTTAAATCAGATTTATTTAGGAATGAAACATTGCAGTGTTGCTGTGAGACACACTTGGAGCAATAAAATGTAGCTCACTCAACGTAAACTTCTTGTTTGTTAGCTATTGTATAAAAAACCAATTCTACATATGTGATCGTGCTAATATTTGGGGAAAACAGCACTATAAATCATATCTTATTAACTGCATAGATCATATTTTATTAAAATAAAAAGAAAATCCAATTCAGGATTGCTCAGGATTGCTAAAATATAATTTATAAAATTCAATTCAGGATTGCTTTGATAAATTGTATTTTAGGGTCCATTCTAACTGATTTATAATTAGCCATGGCTGTTCAAAGCTTCAAAATATTTAAAACAATTGCTTGAGAAAAGACACGTAATTTTTGTGTAAATTTTCTATACAAAGTGTAAATTTTTTTATGCAAAGTGTACATTTTTATGCAAACTTTGAGGTAATCTCAACTGAAACATGAAGACAGGGTGGGACATATAGTAGCCCCTTCCTTTTATTAAAAAAAAAAATAAAAAAACTGCAAGTAGTGTTTGGTTTTTATCACAGCTCTGTCAGTGAGAGTGGTTGAGCTCAAAAGCATCAAATGAAAAGAAAATGAGAAGTATCTTGAATGGGGCGGGGCATGTCAGATACTAGAGATCATTTGATTGGTCAGAAGATTTGATAAGAAACTGAAGTATGAGTTCATGTCAAAAAAATCGATGATCCATTTAAGTGAAAGGGATGAACTACAAACTTTGGGTGTTTATATCAGGTTTATATCTTCTAAATGTGAATTTTCGCTGTTTTGGAGCAAACTAGCTTATAGATATCCTTAAAACAAACTGATAACAACATAAAAACCATTCATGTCACAGGACCTTTAATGTACATAATGTCTGCATTAAATGTTTAGTTTTAATCAGTTTTCAGCACTTATATTGTCTTTTTGTGTCTAGTGTGCTCTGCTAAACAGGAAAACAAGACTTAATGCTATTTCTTTTCATTTTAAAACGGTCTCAATAAAATGTCTACAAACCCATTAAACTGATTCAAGATTAAATTTAAACTATGATGCCTATTCAGTGATTCACCTCTGGGCAATAGTATCTAGATGCAGCCTTTGTGATGCAAGCTGAGATTGCATCACTTAGCATTCTTAATGAACCCAAAACGCCCCTGAATAGAACCATAGAATTGTTTTATATATATATATTTCAAAACCGTTATGACAATGAAGCCCTCTTTGCTGAAATCATGTGATCTTGCCAATTTGGTACACGCTCCGAAACGGATTCAAAACAAAGGATTCGTAAAGATCCGAAGCATTGATGAAGCAGTGCTTGCAAAGCAGACATCACTTATTTTAATAGGTTTCAATGCATTAAGAATCTTATGATATTTTTGGTTAAATGAGTTTGAAATGTCATCAGATTTAATTATTCAAATGTTATCTTCTAAAAATAGATGTTTGTGTTGTTTTACCACAGTTTAGAGGTTGGAAGCTGCATTGCGGTGCAGGTTTGCATGATTCAGATCCCTGTCCTGGTTTTATTCAACGTCTTCTATGTAAGTGCTTCTGTTAATGCTGTTTTCATCTTAAAACTGTTTCACAGATTTTATTGTAAGCATTTTTTTTTATAATCTTTCTGTAATAGGATGTTGGATTTGTACTCGTCTTCAGTGACCTGCACCTGTGGGCCAGCATCTTCAGTGTCATCCTTGTCAATTACATTTTTATGGATGGAAAGTGTGATTACTTTCAAGGTAAATGCTGAATATTCTGTACAGCCAAGGGTTAGTATCCTTATCAAGAATTAACATTTCATGTGTGTTTCCTCCCGGTGCTCCGGTTTCCCCCACAAGTCCAAGTCCACAGCATGTTATAACAATACTAAAACACTGGTAATAATACTAAATATTTCTTAGTCACTGAATCTGCATATTAAAATGCTGACTGATAGATCATGTGACACTGAATTCTGGAGTAATAATGCTAAAATAACAACACTTAACAATACATGCAAATAGAAAACAAACCTTTTATATATGTAATAATGTTTCACAATTTTATTTCTATTTGTGATTAAATAAATACAGCCTAACTGACCTGGCGAACTGAAAAAACTTAACAACCCCAAACATTTGAAAGGAATTCAATGCAATTACTGTATAAATTGTATTTTTTATCAGGACTTCTTGCTGGCACAAAGATGTGAAAAGATTTTATTTTTTTTATCAACATTACAAAAGGGCTTTTTGAGTTTGTGAGCTACTTTGTGTTTGACTAATTATTAACACAGATAATAATTAATTATTCACAGACTTCTCAGTTTCTTGTTTCTTTTTGGTTTGTGTTTGTATGAACAGGTACTGCTCTGGTGGTGGTGTATCTGATCCTGCTTGCGCTGTATTTTTTCGCTCCGTCTCCTGCTGGTTGTTGAGAAGAAAAGCCATCAAAGATTGCTATATTCAGTGGGTGATTTACATTATAAAACCCTGCTTACGGTTTATTCATTAACTTTAGTCTTACACTGTTTTAGAGTATTTCAATTCTGAAAATTTAATCGGTAACACTTCACTTGAAGGAGTGTGTTCATAAGAAACCTTGTCATGAAACCTTTATAATCATGACATTAATGAGATTTTATACATGCTTATAACAACTGTCATTAAGGGTGCTTTCACACTAGCACTTTTGGTCCGCACCTGAGTTCGTTTGATGTCATAGTACGGTACGTTTAGCTAGTGTGAATGCATCTTCTGAACCCGGGTGCGGACCCGTGAACCGTACCCGAGTCTGCCTGAAAGAGGTGGTCTGGGGTACGGTTCTTGCGAACTCTGGTACGGTTCACTTCAGATGTGAATGCAATCGTACCAAATAACGGAAGTAAACTATAGTGAACTACCAACTGTACAACAAACGATCGTTTTCATAATGTTCGTTTGTTAGTGTGTGTTGTTTCATACTTTGGTGACACGCGCGGGACTGAGCCAGGGCAAACACAGTGATGTCTGCTTGTCTTCTCCAAAAACAGCTTCTGCAGACGCTGTGTGATGTTCTGAATGTGCATAATATTTTTGCGGCAGATGGATGAAGTTGCTTTCTGTATGTCCAAAAGCTTTCAGTAAAAGCAGAATGACCGCGATGTGCGGAAGTCTTTCCATTTCGGCACTTGCTTGCGTAGCCGTCACCTAGCAACGGCCGTAAACAAAACAGCAGCTCGATGACGCAAGCGTACCGGGGTTCAGAAGGAAAAAAGACAGTGTGAACACAAACCAACCGAGGAGGTGGCAAGGGGAGACAATCGAACTTGGGTACGGTCCAGGCAAATGAACCAAGTGTGAAAGCACCCTAAGTGTCATTGTTATGACAACTTGACATAAACAAATACACAAGCTGTTTTTGTTTTTGTCACGACAACTTGAGATTACCAAGGCAACAAAACTTGTCATAAATCTGTCATAAACATGGTTGTCTTGAAGCCATTATAATTGTGTATTTTTTAAGAGCGTCATTATTATTTTTTTACAGTGGCACAAGCTTCATATGTCATTTAATATTAATAACGCTCTTGAAAATTATTTTACAACACTATTTTAATGACAGTTACAGTTTGTTTCACTGGAAAAAGTGATGAGAAAAATATTCATGACACAATAATAATGGCTTTATGACAATCATGTTTATGACGAGTCATTTTGTCTTGGTAATGTCAAGTTGTTTTGACAAGGATAAAGTACAGTTGTAATGTATTTATTTCAAATTGTCATTGACATTTATTAACAGTTGTTATAGACATACATAAAATTACATTAATATTCATGAGGTGTGTATGATGATTATGAAGGTTTTGTGACCATCTTATAAGCAGCCCCTTCAAATAAAAAAAAAAAAAAAGTATTACCAATTACTTTTTGGTACATCTTTAATATTTCTTTGCTGTTTAATTTAACCAGAAGCACTCTAAAGCGTTTAATAATAAATGTTTGTTACACATACAGGATCTTTATCGGTACAAGACCATATGAGCATTAACAATTTCCACCCAATTTCTCCTGATGGGGGAAAAAAATTGTGAGCAACAATTAGCAGAGTGTTCACCTATATTTCATTTATTTATGCAAATCATCAGTCTGGGTAAGCATTGGCACTTTGAGGATAATTATTTAAAGTAAAAAAAAAACAATTAATGTAAGCAGTGTGTACATTTGTGTATGGAAAGCCATATGGGCCAAAAATAGCCATACTGTGCCAACAAGTCAACGAGCGTAAAAGCCAATGAAATTGTTGTATTTGAGACTCTATTCTAATATTTTATATATGACATTATTTATAGAATATTTGATGGTACGATGGTATATACTGTATGTTTACAAATGTCATGTATATTATTGATGGATATTGTAATGCAAAGGTTTCAAAGCCAGTTCCTAGAGGGCCGCAGCCCTATACAGTTTAGTTCCAACCCTGCTCCAACACAATTACCTGTAGGTTTCAAACAAGCCTGAAGGACTCAATTAGTTTGATCAGGTGTGCTTAATTAAGGTTGGAACCAAACTGTGCAGAGCTCCGGCCCTCCAGGAACTGGCTTTGACCCCTGTGTTGTAATGGTTTACTGGCATACACGTGCAAACCTTTTATACAATTTAACAATCATACAATTTATTTGAACAGAATTTTATGTTAACACAATAATAATTCACACCTAAACATTGTCAAACTGTTGACATAACATTATTTATGAATTTTGAGATTTTTGGCTTCAATGGCCTTCCATATTCACAAAGAACAGTACATGATCACTGCTTTGACTAAATTTACTGTACTCTTACCTTAATGTACTGTATGTGTAAAAAAACAAGTATACATTGGGCTATAAACACAATACATTTTTTATGATAAAAATGATATATAATGCACAATAAATAATATATTTTGGTGTAGTTAAACTGTTTGGAATAGTACAGGTATTTTATTATGAAACACTTGAACCATTTTGTATAAGGGATCCATTTTTAGTTGATGTGTTTCTCATTCTCTGGTGTTTGACATCATACAGATTAGGTCATAGCATAAATGCATTTATTTTGAATATTTTGCACAATGAACAATTTACGGTCAAAACATTTTTGATCTGTTGCGCTAATTTATTGTAAGTACTCCATATTAAAACATGACTGCGTGTCTATAAAGTATTTCCTACAATTTTTAATGTGTGACTAAAATTTTTATCCATTTTTTGGATAATCAAAATACAATAAACATAACTTTTTAAAAAATAAATCCAAAGTGTTTAGATGTTTCAATGTTTCACGTTATAAATATCCTGAATGCTGCATTTCACATTTGATTTATGCACATTAATCATGGATATTTTGCCATACATTAACTTGAAAGAAATCCGAATCAGAGAGTTTCTGTTTGGCATTGAGGGATTAAAAAAAACTTTATTGATCCCAGCATTGTGTGTCAACAGTGCATAATCTCTATGAACGCATGAAAAACGTTTTCCATTTGGTCTTCAGATTGTAAAATTCTGTGCGGAACTGAGGATTGACCGCAGCGTAGATGATGGGGTTAGTGATGGATGTCAAGCAGACCAAAGATACGGTTAAAAACTCCAGCTCTCGAAAAACCTCCATCTGAAACACAGTAGAGACATTAAAAAGACCTCTGTGACTTAATACACTGGATAGGGATGCATTGATTATAGATTTTGGTTGTACGATCATAGTCTAAGGAATAATCATGGTTATCACGATTATAATGCGTTCATCAATTTCAAAACACTACTAGTTTGGTAAATCACATAAAAACTTTCTTCCTTATATATTTTTATATATAGAATATTTATTGTTGCTCTATAACCAAATAATACTACAATAATAATATAATTATAATACAACAATAATAATACAGAATAAAATAATAATAAAAACAAACAATAGTCCATTTCTCTTTCCACTTAAAAGTAAAAAAAAGCGATGTGCCTCCATTGGAAATAACAAGCTTGTGCGCACAAAGGACGCAATATGTGAATGTAAAGGCTGTGTTTATATATTAAATATGTGAAGGCTGATTATACATGTGGTGTGAAAGAGGCATCAGTTGATTGCCTCGGCCATAGTTAATCCAATGTGCGTGCGTATTAGCTTCAGTGTACAAGCTCTGAACTGTAAACTAGCGCACAGTTGCCATAACTTAGTTCCTGCAGTTTTGTTCCGTGCAGAAACACGGTGTTGAGAAACCACAACAATTTATTGACCGTGTCGAATTAAAGCGTGATTAATAGTGAAAACATTTAAGCATTGTATCCCTAATAGTGGATAATATGCATTAAACCTGCTACCATTATGATTTTAAAATCATTTTTTTTAAAGTTAATAAACATAGCCAAAAGATGATTTTTAACAAAGACTTTAAATATATCTTCAACCATTTTATCATCTTTTCATGTTCTAAGCATAAATAAACAAGAAAAAATATTGTAATTATTACTACAACATCTACTATAGTGTTATTTTTAGCAGTAGCTATTTTTTCTTGTTTAAATACAACAAAAACACAACATATATTTATGCTAATCTATTGTTTATGCTTAAACTTCATATTATTATTATTATTATTATTATGTATCATATGTACTATTATTGTTTTATTTTTTATATTAATTATATTTTTGAATTAATCCTTTAATTTGGATCTATGTTTTTTATGAGCCAAAAAAAAAAAATACTAAATAGATTACACATCATTTCATTTTTATTTCTTAAGCATTAATTAAATATCTGGAAATTAACATAAAGCTGAAGTTCGAATTATTAGCCTCCCTTAGCCTGTTTATTTTTTCCCCCTAATTTCTGTTTAACGGAAAGCAGATTTTTTCAACACGTTTCAAAAAGAACTGATTTATTTTATCTTTGCCATGACAACAGTAAATAATATTTGACTAGAACTTTTTCAAGACACTTCTATACAGCTTAAAGTTACATTTAAAGGCTTAACTAGGTTAATTAGGTTAACAAGACAGGATAGGGTAATTAGGCAAGTTATTGTATAACGATGGTTTGTTCTGGACACTATCAAAAAAATATAGCTTAAAGTATTGAACATTCATTTATCTTTACTTAACTTTCAATTGAATTTACAATATAAATTGTGTTAGAGACAAGCTAATCTATAAACCAAACTTTAAATCAGACGTTTAACGCAGTTTTCGAAATGTATTGTCATTTAAACGAAAGGCAGTTCAATATTTAATATTGTCCCAAAACTCACTATTAGGTGGCCATTTCGAGAATAGAAGTGATTCAGAATCACTGTGGTGATCAGTGGGATCCAGAAGACGAGGAAGGTGAAGATGATGTATCCAGAGCGCTTAGCCAGTTTGCTCTCCTTCTTGGCGTTTCCTCGTTCCCGTTGAGCGAGTGAAGGCATCATACAGACAGCTCCAGCCATCTCCTCCTCTTCCTGCTTCTGCTGTGGATCTGATGCTCCTGGAGGAGCTTTAGCACCATCTTCTCCAGTTTCTGACATTAGACACATTTCGGAGGTTGTATCTTGCTGGGCTTTCGAATGTTCTTCACCTCTTCCATCGTGTGAAGTTCGAGATGTTTCTGAAGTAATGTCTTGCAGATTGTTTGTCTCAAAAGTACCATCTTTTTTTTTTTGTTCTGTTGATGGAACAGTAATATCTTGATGGTTTTCTAATCGTTCTTTAATCGTTCTTAATTTTGGAGACGTTTCTGATGTTAAAATGTTTCTCTCAAAAGTACCATTTTCATTATTAGTTGATGGAGAAGTATTTTGGTGGCTTTTTAATTGTTCTTCAGCACTTTCTTCAGGATCTTCTCTGACATTAGGGAAAGAAGTACGATCTTCTGGAGCATTTGACTCAAAATTCGATGGAGAAGTAGTATCTTGATGATTTTTTAATTTTTCTGATGATTGTAAACTTTCTGGAGCAACTTTCTGATAGTCGTTTGGCTCCACATCACCAAGAGATTCTTCAGAAATGTCTTCATTACTAATTTGAAAGGAGGTTTTCTCAACCACGCTAACGTCTTCATTAAATGTTGGAGAACTTTCTGTAGAAGTATTTTGATGGTCGCTTGGCTCCATAATACCTTTAAAAATCAGTGGTTCTTCATTGTTGAGTTTGTCTTTATCGAGTTTCTTAGCCATGTTTGAATTTAAAGAATCAGACACGGTTGTTTTGGGAAGTTCCTCAGATACAGGCTTCAAATCTCCACATGACGCTTTTCCATTGGCTTCCATCTGAGGGTTTTTGTTATCACTTTTGAAAATGGCATTTATTTCCTTCTTTTTCTGCTTTTTATCCTCTTTCTTCTTATCTGGGGGCGGCAACGAACCCTTGTCGAATATTTTACGTTCATGTGCTTTTACCAAAAGAAAAATACGCCCGTAAAATCCAATGATGATCGTCAAGCAAACAAACCAGACTGGAATTAAGATATAAAATCCAAACGTATCATACGAATCCAACGTTTCCATCTGCAAACCTCTGCATCGTACATAAACCGGCGAGTCTTTCGCAAAAATCACGCAAATAGCCGATATGGAGATCGGCACCAGCCAGGTCAAGGGAATCCACACCATTATCCGTTTTCGGCGTTCGGCACTTTTAAACGGATTCGCAATAGCTTGAAATCGCTCGGCGCTAATACATGCCAGTGTTAACAACTGAACGCAACAGATAAGAGAAAATGACGCAATTTGCACACTGCAAAAAAGCAACCCGAGATCGTGCGCATCACTAGAGCTCACAATAATACTGAGCAGCAATGGACAGTCAATAGAGCATCTAAAGATGTCAATTACAGCCAGATTTACCAGGAGAGCGTTGTTGGACGTCTGAAGCGACTTTTGGCGATAAACGGCCCAAGCGACAAATAAGTTTGCGACAATTCCTACATGTAAAGCCACCAGCAAAACCAGACAATTGACAGCTACAAACACGGCTTGTGCAGTTTCTTGCCATGTGTTGTTCTTCACTTGTTCCCAAAAAGCAGTGGAATTGCTTCTCATCTCCAGTCAAATAACGAATAATTCCATCTCTTTTTAAATTCCCATGAATAACGTTCACCGTTTGCTTTGGTCTTCTGCTTTTTAGTGAGCTTGCAGTAATCAAGCTCTTTATTTTAACCCTCATCATCACCATGGTTCTCTATTTGTTTGCGTTTTTCAATTAACACCCTGCTGGGCTCACGGCCACTGGGGATGGGTTTTGTTTTAGGCAATTTGCTGGTTCCTAGATGTCATCTCACAGACAGGACAATGCTAATTACTGCACAAAGGGGGATTTTCATTATATTATTTCAGGTTTTAAGTTGGTAAAAAAAAAAATTATTTTCAAAAGGTTTTTGCATCAAAGTAAGATCTTTTTTCTATACCAAAGTTGTCATAATAAACACTGATCTTTAAGAGATTTTTAATCATCTAGTTTATGCTCTTGTTGCCATGGTGATCAGGTCAGTAATCTGATTATGAGGAGATTAATTTGGGAAAGGTTTACTCTCGATGCAAGATGTCTTCTGGGATTAAGATGCTCATTTTTAACCTTGTTTTTTTGGTTATTTAATTGCATTTGTTATCTATATGCAGAAAATATTATTTTAAATAGTTTCTATATATTAAAAATGTCCTGTTAAATTAATAACGATGAATATCATTTCTTGATGAAGAACATGGATTTTTCATTCCATGATTTATAGAAGAAACCCATTCAAAAATATAAGTCAGAGTCAAACAGTTTATAAATGAAAAATGTTGTTGGATAATAATTTAATCTGATGGCAAATTAACAACCTGCTATTTAACGATGTAGCCCTAAAATGCTGATTCATTTTTTATTGAAAATCTTTATACTCTGTCAATGTCCTTCAAACCACAAGATTTAAAACATTTAGCTTTATATATTTCAGTAAGTAAAGATCAGAATAAGTGTTTTGTTATATTTTCACAAAGGTTATTTGAAATTGAAACACAGTAAATATGATTTCTATGTAAGCAAAGTCATGGTGAATGTCGATTTAATTTTTGATCTGTAAAAACTGGATACTCATTTTTGAACAATTTTAAATACAATATATTATTTAATTAGTCTTTAAAATGATCTAAGTTTGGTCATTAACATGATTTAAATCTAGCAGTTTCACAAATTAGCATAAACAATTAACAAATGTAGGAGTATTTTGAAAATCTCTGATATCGGCGAATAACCAAAATATTTAGCTTCCATAAAATTCACTATTATTACAAATATTTGGAACAATGTTAATGTTGAAAACTGTTCTGCTAAACATTTATCGGAATAGTTTAAAACAACAGTATAGAAACGCATAAAAATACCAGCCAAGAAACTGTAATGGCAATAGATTAGGTCTATTAACGTGAAAGTTCACCCAAAATTTTAAATAATTGTTCCAAGCATGTTCGAGTTTCTCCTGAACACAAAAGATATTTTGAAGAATGTTGAGGGGGGGGGGGTCGTTTATTTCAATGGTAGTTATAGTGTTTCTACAATCAGAATATCTTATTTCGTGTTCAACAGAAGAAAGAATTTCATAAACGTTTAGAACCCCTTAAGTGTAAAAGAGTTAATGGTGAGGGCCTTTTCATTTTTTGGGTGAACGATCTTGTCACAACTGCCTTGCATGGTTTCTCACTTGTGGAGCTGCACATCGATGGATTCGCTCTTCAGTGTTTGGACCTTCAGCAGTGAAACTACACCATTTGACGCACAGTAAATTAAAATGATGTTTGAACATGACCTCTAAAATCACATTGACTGACCTCGAATCAGACTGGATTGACCCTGCTTTGGCCCCTTTGCATTGATGATCCCATTAACGGACCACCAGTTTCTCGAGAAATGTATCGACCGCAGGACAGGACCTCCAGAGAAGATTCTCGAAACTGGACAAACACATATCAGACAATGACTAATCATTTCACTTTAAAATCCGCATGAACCAGAAGTTTCTGAGACTTTTGTTTCAGTGTGTTGATGTACTTCCAACTGATTGGCATATTGAGTAGGGACAGGGCTTTCTTTTTGCGTATCATTCCCTCATAACAAACTAACAGTAAAAGGGCCGTAGTTAAGAGTATTGTGTCTGAAGCCTTCAATCTGACATCAAAAGAGAAAGACTGTCCCTCCAAGACTTCACCAAAACAAAGATTTGCTTTCAGTGGATTAACCTTCACATATTATTTGTTCACAGACTAGCAATGTGTGCTGGAAAAATAAACACTGTAAAGTTTGACTTTAAACCTCACCGTACTCAAACACTAAAACAGACCCGTTTGTTAGTGAGGAAGTAGATGATGGGATTGTAGACGGGGCTGGTTTTGGCGAAGTACATGGGCATGGTGGCGATCAGAGGAGGGATGGAGATCTCTGGATTCACCACGACTAGCACAGAGATGGCGGTGTACGGCAGCCAGCAGATGAAGAAGGCGATGATCATGGCCAGAACCATTCGCACCGCATGCTCATTGTCCTCAGCGCAATTCTTTCCTCCCTGACATTCAATGCTTTTGTTGATCTGAAACAATGGAAAGTCATTTAGGTTGATATTTTTTTAGCACTAAAAGCGCATTTATAGCAATAACTATAACGACAACTTCACTCAAGAAAACAATTCACTTGATATAATAATAATTTTTATTGTAAGTGTCTGCAAACAATTTATTTAAACAAACAAATGAAGTAAAAAATTACTCAATTTAATTTGTTTAAATTCAGCTTATATAACTTGTTTGCAACCACTTACCTTTCAAAAATGTGCTAAAGGATTATAATCATTAATGATATTCACAACAATGCAAGGAAATATTCTGATTATTCTAAGCACATGCAATAGATTTGTCACTTTTTGGGTGTTCAGACATCTTGATTTAATATGAATTCACAAGCTCAGTTTACTAAAATTACTGATTTAAAACAAGTGCCACTGATGTTAAGTGCCACCAAATGGTAAATGGTAGTGGTGAACTTACTAATTGAAAATCAAAGTGATAGAAATATTATAGAATATATTAAGCATATTCTACACAATGTATTTAAGCAATGTAACTACACGTCACAACGACGCGTAGCGCAAGTTCTGTTATTGGTCGGTTTGGTAGCTCTGACGAGTCTGGGCGGGACCGAGAGCCGCGTGAGCCCGATGGCACGATTGTTTACAAGTGTGGAGTCCTGTTAATTAGCTCCAGATGGAAAGTTTTGTTTTGCGTTTACCTCATAGTTAAAGTTGTTGCACATCCGCCGGTTCCTGCTTCAAAAAGAGCGAGTTTGAGCCACTTGTACATCCCGGAAGCGTTCAGAAAAAAACAAAAAAGCAGCGAAGAAACTCAACAAAGAGACACATTAACACCTCACTGCCATCTAGCATTTCGGAAGTGTTAATGCAGACCAACCAAGACCGCGCGCAGAAGTATAAATGCACAGCTATACGAGTTGCGTGCGCCGTTGGTTACGCCGGTAACTTGACGCAGAAGTATAAACCAGGCTTTATGCTACGGCGCAGCCTACGCGTTGACGCATAGCCCTATGCCGTGGCCGTGGGCGTCGCTGACGTGCACCTCTCAAAAAATGTAACTACACATCGCAACGACACGAAGCAAAAGCTCTGTACGCCTTGGTAGCGCTGACTAGTCAGGGCGGGACCAAGAGCTTCGCGAGCCTAATGAAGTGATTGTTTACAAGTGTGGAGTCCCGTGAAGGAGTTCCGGATGGAAAGTTTTGTTTTGTGCTTACCTCATAGTTAAAGTTGTTGCATGTTTGCCGGTTCCTGCCTCAAAATGAGCAAGTTTGAGCCACTTTTACATTTAGGAAGCGTTCAGAAAAAAACAAAAAAGCAGCGAAGAAACTGGACACAGAGGAACATTAACACCTCACTGCCCACTAGCGTTGTGGAAGTTTTAATGCAGACCAACAGTGACAGCGTGCAGAAGTATAAATGCACAGCTACACGCGTTGCATGCGCCGTGGGATACGCTGGTCGCTTGACACATAAGTATAAACCAGGCTTAAGAAGCTGGATTCAGCCTTGTCCCTCCTTATCGCAAACACAACAGCAGTCTGGTGAGAAATCTCTGTAGACCGATGGCACTTCATGTCACGTTCAGCCTTATAATCTTAAAATGTGAGCAAAATTTGCTGTTTTGGCATCAACTTAAGGGGGTCAAACACCAGAAGCGCCGCTTCACATTACGCTATAGAGAATCATTCAAACACTAGCTCTAAAGTGACTCTAAACGCACACCTCCCACCAGTGCTGATATACAGCCATGGCCCACTGCTACTCGTGTGATATTGCTCATTTATATATATATATATATATATATATATATATATATATATATATATATATATATATATATATAAAGCAAGGAATTAATTCTGTAGCATCCTATACAGCATCTTTTCTTAGGGTCATAATAGGGTATATGGCGAAGCATGTTAATAGGACTTCTAATTTGCCAGTAGCCTGGGTAAGTGCTTCCGGCAAGCTGTATGCCAATGCAAAAACCGGCTGTTTTCTTAAAAAAAACAGCGATCTCCACTATCTGAGTTATATCCGATATAAATTGGGTCTCATATTGTACAAGAAGCACTGCATTAAATTACATTTTCCCCACCATGTCTTTATAATACGAGCATTTATTTTACCCCAGTGTATACAATGGAGCTTCTGCGCTAGCCTGCCGATTCTGACGGGCGTGTGCGAGTAAACGGCTTTTTGTCTTGTTTTACGCTTGAGCAACTAAATGAATGCTAAAGGTTATTTAACTCAATGTATTTTAATGACATCACAACATTGATGCTGTAAAAGTACCCGCATAAAATGGAAAAAAGTTTACAATAACAGGTCACCGGAAGTTTATCAGTATGGGAAAAACACTAGCTCAGCATATACCGTTTTGTGATCAATCTTACTTTACTCAGATTTTGAAGCTTTTTAATCTCGATCATTACCATTATTTACACGGTAAAAATGCTGAGTTCTACACAATCAAATTTTTTTGGAACAAAATGAAGGAATTAAATTAACTTAGTTTTTACTAATTTAAATAGATTGAACATAAAACAATTAAGATGTCCCAAAAAAAAAAAAAATTGTGCTGTTTCAGCTTATATTAAATAAGTGCTTTGAACAAAACTATTTTTTAATGTAGTGAGAACTTTACCTTCCTCATAGTCAGCAGCACATTGCTATAACAGTAAGTGATGATAACAGTTGGCAGAATAAAGCACATGAGCGTGTAGAGGATCAGATAACTGTAGTTCCTCCAGGATCTCTCCTCCCAGCCCAAAGAGCAGGACGTCTGGACGCCCTCGGGCCCGTATGAGCTCCAGCCCAACAGAGGAGCCACGGCCCAGAAGAGGCAGTAGAGCCATACCAACAGCAGACCCTGACAGCTCCTACCCACGTTCAGCTTGAAGCCCGCCATTGGTTTACAGACCACGTTATAACGCTCATACGCCAGCAAAGTAAGGGTGCACAAAGACACCAGGCCTAGAACAAAATACAAGAAAAACAACACTCCTTTTGTATTGTTGTATGTGTGGCAGAGGTTTTAAAAAAAGAAAAAGTTGATTTAAATAAAGTTGGGAAAGTAAATGTGTGTTAGCTTCCTCTGCTTTGAAATCAGAAGGTTACTCTATATTTGAATTACATTTTATTGACTCGTAATTTATTGGTTTTAGAACAGTTATTATTTGTATATTAAAACAGAAGTATTTAAAATAATAATATAAAAATAATATGATAAAATATATATACATAAAATTTAAACTAAATACATATTTTAAATGGAAAAATCTAATTATTTGGTGTTAAACAATAATAATCACACACATGTATATAAAATACTACTACAAAGGAATAAAAATGAAGCTAATCGATAGTCTTTTAGTCTTATCTTTAGTCTTTTACACGGTAGCTTATTACAAGAGCTAAGAATATAAACTGTTTTTCCCAGAGAAACACTATATACTGTATAATGTTTAAATATAATTATTAATGTTATTATTATTGACCATTTTTCACAAATGTAGAAAATTTTAACTTTACAAACCTGAAAACTGCAATATTAAGTCATATTTATATTAGGAATATTTTGCACTCAATATTTAATATTATACAATTTTTCACTTAATTATATAATACAATTAAGGTTAAAAATTGTATTAATTACTCTTCCTCACATTTTCTTTGCATCTACACAATAAAAAACTCCAGTAATAAAATACTCCAGTATAAGTCAATTAATCTTATTATATTTAAAATGCTTCATATTCATTTTAGAAATATTTAGAATTCAGTATTTTATATTTAATATTATTTATATTATAAATAAATAATACAAAACTAGGGTTGAAATGTTATTAATTACTATTTTCCCTCACATTTTCATTGCCTCTGCACAATAAAAACAGAACGGTCTTATTTTAAAAGTTAATTATTTGAAGTTTAAAATAAAAATGTGTGTATTATTATAAATACATATTATATTTATTTTATATACCTACGTATTATAAATACTCTTTTTAGGTTAAGGTCAACTTTTTTTATATAGCACCTTAAAATAACATGAATATTGACCAAAGTGCTTCACAAACATGGCAAACAATAAATAATTCGACAGACATGACAATATATGCTACAATATAATTTATAAACTATATATATATATATATATATATATATATATATATATATATATATATATATATATATATATATATGATTGCTAAAAAAAATAAAAGCAAAGACAC